GGGAGCCACACAAGTGCCAGCCGGAGGAGCAAGGGGCGGCCGCACAGCCAGCGGCTGGAGGGAAGTAGCACGTTGAAGAGGAAAACCGACCCCTGGTCTTCTGGAGACCTCTAGCCCTCGCTTACGCCACTCGCCGCCTCTTGGGGGCTGGGTGCAGCGAGGGGTGGGACTGGCCACAGGAGCCGGCGCAGAGCCCGCGGGGGAAGGAATGGTGCCTGGAGGATGCCCGGACTCTCCCAACTACTTCCTCATCCTCTACTAATTAAACCTGCCTGTCCTCAAGCGCTGGTGTTGAAGGCGAAATAAATAATCGTTCTACTCTCTCTTTGCCAAGACACGGGCATTTCAGGGCATTTCAGCTCCATGATGAGTTAAAGCGGCTTTACCGGGCCAGCCCAGGCACCTAACTGCCGTTTATAATGTCGTTTCTGTGGGGCGACACGCCGAGTTCCAAGCAGCCAACTGGCAAAGGGACTTTTGGAACACGCCCTGTTGGTCCGTTGCGGACCGCCTGCACACAACAGCAGGTAGCAGTCTCGGGATTCTGGCCCTCGGGGCAGGGCAGAACAAGAGGCAGTGAAGTGGCTCTGACCCCCGGAGGGGGTAGAGCCCTCAGCAGTCCCCAGGCTCCAACCCAGTGGGCAGCGCAAAGCACCAGTATAAAGGGGGAGGCTGCCCCCTGTGGGATGGGGCAGGCAGCAGGGGTTATGGCGCCTGGTCCGCTGGGTCACAGCTCAGGGCCCTAACGTTAGTGGGGATCCCACCAAAACACACTGACCTAGACTTGGGCAACACAACCAGGCTCATGTTGTGTCCCTGGACAACTACTTGTGGTCCCGTCTGTGTGTGCTTCCATGTCCTGGGGGTCCCCTGGGTACTGGCCAGTACCTCCTCTAGGTCTTCAGCACTGCAGAACTCCATTTTGGGGGAAGACATCTGCTCACTTCACCGGCGCTTGCGCAATTGAGCGGCAGGAGGCGTGGCTTTTCTGGCTCTGCCCACCAAGGGGTGGGGCCAGGTTTCTGCCTCTCAATCTTGGAGGTAGGCCATGCCCCTTCACTCTACATATGCACAGACTTTTAAGCCAGAAGGGACCGTCATGGTCCTCTACCTTGACCTTCTGCATGTTGCAGGCCATTGGACGTCACCCACCCACTCCTGCTAATAAATATAGTAACCTTTCTCTGCAAAAGCAGAATTATTTCACCCGCCTCCAAGAATGGACTGTACACAACAAACTAACATGCCACCCTGCAAGTGCCCTCGGCCAGTAATCGGCTTATGCAACCAATATTAGGAGCTATTCTTGGTTCACTTTTTAACATGATTCCTCCTGAGTCTTTTCCATAACCACCTTTGGCTTAGTTTGGAGAGGGGCCTCTGTTGATCAAAAGATGTAAAGTCATGATCACGGTATACCTCTCCGACATGAAATCTTGCTACCCCATAACTACAGCTGCTGTTATTTAAGTGGCATGCAGTTTTCCAGGGGAAATGTTTGTACCTCTGAAAAATAGGTTCTTCCAGAACGCCCACAAGGAGCCAAAGTCTTTTGAAGTGAATGGAAACACCCCCTCTTTCCTCACACCCCTTGACTTCAGTATCTATTGGATCAGGCTCCAAGTACACGATGAGATGATCTGTAGGTGCTGGTGAATGGAGTTATGAAAGTCATGCCTTTGGATCAGGCTCCAAGTACACGATGATCTGATCTGTAGGCGCTGGTGAATGGAGTTATGAAAGTCATGCCATTCAGACAACTCAGTCTTCTCAGTTTTCCATCATAATTTATTAATTCACTTTGGGTGCGTCTACACAGCACCCTTAGCTCGAAATAAGCTACGCAATTTGCCCAATTATACAATAGCTTAATTTTGAAATAACTCGTTATTCTGAAATTCCTCTTAACTCTTGTGGAATGAGGGTTACCGGGACATCAGAATAAGCTGCCCTATGGATACGTCTACATGCAGTATCCCGAAATAGCTACTCCGCATCTATTGAAGCAGCCCGTTATTTCGAAATAAATTTTGAAATAACGGGTGGCTTATTCTGACATCCTGGTATCCCTTGTTCCATGAGGGTTAAGGGGAATTTTTAAATAGTGAGTTATTTCGAAATTTGCAGTGTATAGATAGTGCCAAATTACGCAATAAGCTATTTAAAGCTAAGGGTGCTGTGAAGACACACCCTTTGAGTCCTTTTGTAGTTTTCTGGAAGCTATTTCAGTTAAAAAGGGGGAGGAAAGTGAAAGGAGAGTTTGTTGTGAAAGAAAAGCAAACGTTTTCTGGAAGCTATTTCAATTAAAAAGGGGGAGGAAAGTGGAAGGAGAGTTTGTTGTGAAAGAAAAGCAATGGTGTGAAGAGCAGATGGAAATGTATCTGATGTGGGAGTTCTCTTTGGTGTTACCATATGGGAGTGTACCCAGCTAGCTGGTACTTTAATAGAGAGCCATGAAGACATCATCTGTGACAGGTGATCATCCTTCTATAAATGCAAATAGGTTTATGAACTTCACAGTCTTCCATCTGTGGGGGCTTTCGGTAGTAGGCATGTAGAATGACACTGCCTATTTAACTGTGCAAAACTGTCCACCTTCATTTTTTGTTTCAGCTCCTACGCACCTAATAGATTTCCCAGCTACTTTCCATACATCATATTTCTAAATATGTGAAGCAAACCTTTTTACATGGGTCATTATTAAATGTGTGCCACATGTAAATATGGGTGGCATGAAAAGCAAAAATAAAGTGGATTTGAGTCCAAACCATTTGCTTTTCATTAGGTTATGCAACTCTAATCGAAACAGTAACATATGTGTTTACATTGCTGTGGACATGAGAAGCCAGACACTGAAAACATTCCTCTAAGGTTGTATAAACTCCAGCAACCAAATATTTTGGGAGCTGTTTTCTAATACCAGTTTAATCGTTTAAAAATATAACCTGGAATCCAGATATTAAAAATGCCTTGAGAGGTATGCACATCACTGCACCAGATGAAACTACTGAACCTCTAAAGTATGCAATGAGCCTGCATTCTGTAATAGCGTCTGTTACTTTTTCCTTTTCTTATGTCAGCTGATTAAATTCAAGCTTTTAGTTATGTCGTGGTGGGGATGGAATTTTTCAGCATATATGAACGTGCTGACTCCAACTTGTACAAACAAATCTGTGTTTGATGGAGTAGTTCGGTTATTTTAGAAACTGAATGAGAAAGATCAGCAAAAGGAAATCAACGATGCAAAATGTGTCCATTTCCTTCCACCCTTGTTATGCGACAGTATCATGAATTTTCAAACATGTGTGTGATGATAATCTTAGTCTTACGTTCACTAGGGACATTTGATTTTACTCAGGCCACATCTCCACTCACCAGAGGAGTGATGCTTTGACAATCAATCGTCCGGGGTTTGATTTAGCGGGTCTAGTGAAGACCCATTACATTGAATGCTGAGGGCACCACGGTTGGGCTGTAAGGGAAGCCGACAGGAGCGTTTCTCCCATCAACCTCCCAAAGTGGCGACAATGCCAAGCTCGATTTAAGGTATGTCAACTAAGTGGCGACAGTGCCAAGCTCGATTTAAGGTATGTCAACTCCCGCTATGTTATTTACATAGCGGGAGTTGCGTACCATAAGCCAACCTTCCCCCAGCAGTGTAGACCTGGTTTCAGTGTTTTTAGACACAGAGCATATCCTGATTAGCTAAGGCCAGTGCTTACTTCGCAGTTCATAATCCTGCCACCTTTGGACTTGCTGCCTCAGGTATGAATGTAAAAAACTTGCTTGAGCCCTGATACCTCTTTCATTACAAATTAAGCCCTGCCTAAGGCTTTCCACAAAAATATCGAGGCAATATTAAGATTTGAAGACACTTGTGGTTACTTTGGGTGAGTTAAAAGTTCTTTCGCTGCATTGTTTCTACCATATGTGGCAGGCTCTTGTTATGATCTGCCACTTTACCAGGCCGGAGTCATTGTGGTTTTCTAGTATCCCAGGACAGCCCGACAGCCACTCAAAAGCGTCTCACTTGCCCTTCACAATCCTGGGTGTGCATTGAGTGACCGGAACGACCAGCCTAATGCTGCAAATGAACATGGGACTCCGCCCCCTTTTCATTGAACCGCTGCCAAGTAACCAAAGAACGGGCTGATTTGCCCATCCGGCCTGCCGCTTTGCTGCATTCCTTCGGTGGCTCGTGGCCTCTGTACTGTACATCGGGAACTGTGCACATGGTAAACTTTGTGTGGCTTTGAGAGAGCAGCCTGATCCTAAGGTGACAGGACTTTTGTTGTTGATCTCTCTGAAAAAGAGAGTCAGTTCTAAAGGGGGACGGCTGCCTTTTATTGGACAGTAGAGTTCTGACACCTCGGTTGTCTTAGAACAGTTCTCCCGAACTATAATTGTGGTATTTTGGGGCCTGATTTTCTCCAGCCTGGTGACACACAAGAATAAAAATCCTGCGAGATCTGCCTTATCTTTTCCTCCTATCTCTCCTCCTAGCTCTGCTCCCACTGGGAGTGTCATTGATTTCCGTAGGTGTTGGACCAGTGCTTTTCTGCCGATCCCACTCTTAGAGATGCACCCTGAGCCCCGCTGTGGTAAATCAAAGCAGCCATATGTAGCTGATTTAGCCTGTTTGCGGTTCCCCTGGTGTCACATAGTCAGGATTCGGCCAGTTGCTCTGTGTAGGGGGCATGTTGGGAGAATAGGGCAAAATTCTTCAGCACAACTTTTTTTGGCCAGTTGTCTCTTCTCCATTGTGGGCCTGAACATCCCTGAGTTCTTTAACGAGCCGACGCTTGGGCTTGATGAGTAATTAACTCTCCCTCTCGCCTGCCCCTTTGCTCCTTCAGGCTTCTCTCAAGCAAAGTGTGTGGAAGGCTTTGAGGCTAGGAAAGTGCAATTTCTGCTGTTGCGAAAGAATTGAGCCCTGCAAAGTGGGGCAGCAGCAGTGAAGGGGGCTTTTCCATCCTTCTCTGTCCCCTTGTCTCTTTCAGCTGTTGAAAGGAATGGCGCTGTCCCGGCGCAAAGCCCCCGAGCAGAGCACGGAGGAGGAGGAGTCGGAAAGCGGCGACTGCGATGACGAAGACGACTGCAGGGGGGGCTCTGGAAACGGAGCACTAGGAGTTAAGAATCGGCTCCGGTTCTTAGCAGGTGAGGGACGAAGGCCGTGAGGTTTTGTTCCACCTCTGAGCATTGCCTCGTATTTGGGCCCCAGGGCCCCGTCACATTAAAGTTAATGGAGTGCCGGCCCATACGCAGCGGGGGAGGAAGTGCGTGAAGGGTGCAAACGCCCCCCGAAGTCCCCAAGGAAGCGTGAGGCTGATGCGGCACCTTGCCTGAGCCTCCCTCCCTCACGTATCGGCCAGCCGAGGGAAAGCTGGGGCTGATTTCTCTCCCCACCTCCCAGGAGTGAGTCTGGGGGCGGAGCTGGGCCACGGGGGTGGGACAGCCATCAGCCCCTCCCACTACTCGCACTCCCCGTCCACTGAAATTCCTGCATACGGGCCTGGAATGACGCTGGGGTGAATCCGGTCCCTGGAGTGTGGCTAGCGTAGCTCGCTGGTGAACTGAGAGCGGAGGAGATGCTAGGTGCATGTTTTCCTGTACGCCAGGCTTCTGGGGAAATTGGCTCCTTCGCGGCTGTCTGTAGCGGGGAGGCTGTTTGCCTGGGGATCCCCTTCCCCCACCCCGTGTTATACTTGTAGAAATAGAACTAGCAGACTCTTGTGCGGGGGAGAAGCCAATGCGCTACGTTGATTGTGAAGGCACAATTCCTTCACTGTCCCTAGTGACTAAAATAGCCCACCGCACGTTCATCCGCACAGGGCTGCCAATGGGATATAGATACCAGCCTCAGTTGCTCATGCTAGTCCACTAGCCAGGCAGCCTAGACATGAGGAGGGGAGACAGGCCAGGGCCCTGATGCTCCTGCAGGATGACTGTAAAAGCGGAAGACCCAATTCTATCGTTTTGCACCCATCCTTTTCTCTGTTTTAGTCCCCAGAGCCCGTCCTGTCCCACTGCGCCAGGGCGCTGTATGACCATCCCTCAGATGGGACTTGGATCTTCTTGTCTGGATGGGCTTTTTGTCTCTCTCTCTTGGGTGGGTGCTGCTGCCGGGCTCGCTTGCATGGTTCTTCCATATAATGTAAAGGGGCAGGAGCCACTAAGTGAAGGGAAAGGGGAGGGGCCCACTTCTCATTTACACTGAGGTCCCTGCGCCCAGTGTCAAGTGAGCAAGTAGATGTCAGTGGTCTGTACGTCCCTCCGTATTACCCCTCCCCCAAGCCTAGTCACACGCGTGGGCTGGCCCTAGTGTGTGTGGGAAGAAGCCACGTGGAGCTCCTCTTTTGTCAGGGATGGTGTGTGTGTCGGGTTCCCCACAACCCAGCTCTCTGCCCTAGCCCTCGCCCCTTGTGTTCCCCATGCCCCGTAGAGCATGGGACTCTAGGTCCGTCTTCTGTCTGGGAAAGTTATTGAGAAGAGGGTGAAGATGATTGTCCTGTGGCAAACCCTGCCTGGCTTTTCTTAGCTGGAATGTAGAGACTCGGGTGACTGTTTACAAAACACGTGTGGGCTGTCGACTTATTTTCAGCCGGGACTTAGCTCAACACCCACTGAACGTCAATGGGCTTTGGCTCCTAATCAGTTTTGGAAACGGTCGTAAGCCTCTTACGTCCCCGCGGCCAGGTGCATGGTAGACTAATATAATAGCTACAGTACTCGGGCTGTGGAAAATTCCACACCCCTGAGCAACTTAGTTCTATTGACATAACCCCCACACAGGCAGCGCTGTCTGCCGGAGATGTTCTTCCCTCCACACAGCTACGGCCTCTTGGGGAGGTGGATTCACTACACCAAGGGGAAATGCTCTCCAGCCAGCGTATGAGCATCTTCGCTAAACCACCACTGCCCTACCGTACATGAAAATGAGCCCTTGGGTGCTTTTTAGAAATAATTTACCCGTAGCCATTAGTCAGGACGGGGAAATAAAAGAACCATTGTGATTTCAGAAGTCACCACCATTGTTAAGGTGTGAATGCTCTAACGCAAATCACTCCCTTTCGTTGCGGGTCGTTGGTAGTCCTATCTAGACTGTCTAATGAAGACCATCGACTTCCCTGATATGAGGTGGTCTCCTCACCTCAAAAACGATATTTTGGCCTTGGAAAGGGTTCAGAAAAGGGCAACTAAAATGATTAGGGGTTTGGAACGGGTCCTATATGAGGAGAGGTTAAAGCGACTGGGACTTTTCAGTTTAGAAAAGAGGAGACTGAGGGGGGATATGATAGAGGTCTATAAAATCATGAGTGGTGTGGAGAGGGCTGATAAAGAAAAGTTATTTATTAGTTCCCTAAATAGAAGAACTAGAGGACACCAAATGAAATTAATGGGTAGCAGGTTTAAAACTAATAAAAGAAAGTTCTTCACACAGCGTATAGTCAACCTGTGGAACTCCTTGCCAGAGGAGGCTGTGAAGGCTAGGACTATAATAGAGTTTAAAGAGAAGTTAGATAATTTCATGGAGGTTAGGTCCATAAAAGGCTATTAGCCAGGGGATAAAATGGTGTCCTTGGCCTCTGCTTGTCAGAGGCTGGAGAGGGATGGCAGGAGACAAATCGCTTGATGATTGTCTTCGGTCAACCCTCTCTGGGGCACCTGGTGCTGGCCACTGTTGGCAGACAGGATACTGGGCTAGATGGACCTTTGGTCTGACCTAGTACGGCCGTTCTTATGTTCTTATGACTGACACCAGACTCTGTGTTTACGCCCAATCTGGGGCAGATGAAATTTGACCTTTGGACTTTGGTGGTGCTAACCAGACCGACACCAATTCACTCCTGGTTTGAGTGTGGTGTGCGTCTCTTCCTAAAGACCAGACAACTGAACCTGGATAGAATCAGCCCTGCCGCTTTGACATTTAAGAGGCAAATTTGGAGTCTTAAACTAAGCCCAGATGTTCATAAATTCCCTTCCGCGGATCTGGAACAATTAAAAAATCCCTAGCAGAGCGAGAGCGGAGAGGTTTAATGGCGGCCTCCTCGCTGAGATTGTGGGTTTTTTTACATACGATGTAAATGAATTATTTATTTTCAAATAGCTCTTGAGACAGAAAAGACCTTTTAAGTCCTCCAGTCCGACCGAAATTGATGTTAGACAATAAAATAAAAATCTAATTCGCATAAGGATGAAATGTACTTTCTTTCATCACATACCTAAACATCAAGGCGTATGTAAGGGAATACGAGTTGATCCGTCTATGCCCCATTGTATCAAGCTAAGCCTGGAGATGCATGTTTTATCCTATATTAAATCTTTGTGTCTCAACTTCATGTTATTTCAGCGTTTTTTAAATTTCCTTATGTGCCCTTTAGTCTAAGAGTCTCTCTGATTTCTGAAGACATGTATAATCCTTTGTTGCCTTTTTCTGTCTCCCTAGGCTGGTCTAATCATGGTATTGATTTCCCAGATAGCCTATATGTCTAAGTCTGTATATCTTACTTGTCACCCTGCTGTGTGAACACATTATCGGAAAAGAGGAACAGGATTCCCCTTGCATTTTATCTAGCCGAAGGGGTATTTGTTGCTTACGTCTCTGATGTATGGAAAATGGTGTTGAAATGACAAGCTGTCACGTTGATTTGTAAGGGGTTTTCTGGTCCTGTGTGTAGGATTGGGGGCACTGTAAGGGGGAGGCATGTGAATTGGGTAAGTCTGCAAAGAACTAGCCTAGAACAAGATGGGGGTGAATTGGGTTCCTCTGTCTTAAGGAGCAGCCTGCATTGTGTCTCCGGTTTTGATTCCGGTGTGTTACGATTCTGGATTTTGATCTAACGTCTCCCTTGAACATTGCAATTTCTTTGCCTACCACAGCAAAATGTCAGTAATAAAGAGTGAAGTCAGACTCCTAGGGCTGAAAGAGACGAGTCCAGCCCTCTGCCCAAAGCAAGACCAAGCCCAACTCAATCATCCCAGCCAGGGCTTTGTCAAGACAGGACATAAAAACCTCTAGGGATGGAAATTCCACCTCCTCCCTAGGGAACCCGTCCCAGTGCTTCCCCACCCTCCTAGTAAAATGGTTTTTCCTACTATGCAATCTAGATCTCCGCCATTGTCAAGAGCGGCCCGAGTCTGGCTGCGACAGCTGGCGCCCCAGGCAGGTGGCGCAATCGGCGCCCCCTCGGCACCCCCGCCTGCACGGCCGTCAATGGCCATGACGTCATCATCGGGCACATGGGCCAGCGGCGCTCTAGGCAATTGCCTAGTTCGCCAAGGCTTACGGGCCACCCCGCCCATTGTAACTTGAGCCCATTGCTCCTCGTTCTACCGTCTGCCACCACTGAGAACAGCCTCTCTCCATCCTCTTTGGAAAGTCTTAGTGAGATGTTCTTCATAGTCCATTCTCTTCAGTTTCATCCTGCAACAAGGGATCTAGCAAAGCAGTTAAGCACATGCTTAACTTTAAACAAACAAGCTGTCCCATTGAAACGAATGGGGCTGTTTTGGCATTTCCTGATATCTGAGTGTTTGACTTTGCAACCTTTGTGTTCTTTTAGTGTAGCGCTTTTGTTTTATGTAGTATAGCTTTAGCACATAAATGCGTATTGGCAGGCGAAGTAGTGCTTTTTTTAATGTAATATAGCTTAGCACATAAATGCGTATTGGCAGGCGAAATGTATATGGAAAGATACGAAATGCTTTGTAATTTGGGTTGAAAGCCAGGGGGAAAAAAATGTTCTGGCATCCTGTTCTGACATTTTCGAAACATTTAGATTATTTTGTTTTGAAATGACTTTTTTTGTTTGTTTTGATTTTTGTTTTTAATTTGGTACGATGTGATCATCCATATTACGACCTAGTAAAAACATTAAAAAGTCAAAATTTAACACAACACTTTCATTGATCCCCATTGAAATGTTTTCAAAAACATTTCGATGTGAATTTCAAACTGTTCAGTGGCTCTTCTGATTTGAAAGAGAACCAGATTCTGAAATTTCAAAATCTTTTATGAAATCGAATTTCTATCCTGTGCACAGCTCAGCAAATATGTGCATACACCCAAGACTGCACTTTTCTGTGGGATTATCTCCCTGCTTACTGAGGAGGGTAAACAGGCAGTAGAAGGGTTGATTTCTCAAATGATTGATGGT